CAAAAATTATATATATATATATATATATATATATATATTTCAAATATATGCTATTTTGAACCTTCTAATTATCAGATTATCCTGAAAAAAAAATCGTTTGAAAATATATTAAAATAGAAAACTTTTAAATTTTAATAATTTTTAAATTGTAATAATATTTCACAATATTACTGTTTTTACTGTATTTTTGATCAAATAAATGGCACCTTAGTGAGCATGAGCGACGTCTTTTAAAAACATAAAAAATCATACTGATGCATTAAACAATCATGTAGTTGTGTCTCTCGGAGTATGTAAGCATTCAATCTTTTTATATTCACCTTCTAACAATTGTAAATTATTTATAAAACTTGATTGTTGTACTGTATCTGTATTTCTGCATTGATAATCTTATAACTGCCATGAATTAAAGTATGATACAACTGGCTCATTCTTCCATAATAGCTATTTCTCTCACTTTGTTTTGTCCTGTCAGTATAACTTGATTTGCTCATAACATTTACTCATTGCTCATTATATGGCATTCATTTTTTCTTTCCAAGCACCTGTTAAACTACTCAACTTCATTTTCAAATATTATGCTCCATCTTTTGGCTTTAGTTAAGCTAAAATAGGAGAACAGGTCTGGAATAACTGGCTAGTTTCTATTCCGCTTTAGCAAACAAACTTTCAAGACAAACTATGTCTTGAAAGTGCATAAACACATCAACCTGCAGGTATTCAGAGGATCCCTAAAGTACTTAAAAGCTTAAGCTCTTTTGGGATGTTTACCTCATAAGTTCCTGCTGTGATATTTGACATGTCTGTATTGTGGATCCCGCAGCCGCTTCAGCCTCACGTCAGAGTTTGGGACTCCGTCAGTCTGTCCACGCTGCAGATCATCGGCCTCGGCACCTTTGAGAGAGGAGTTGGATCCCTCGCTTTCTCTAAAGCCGTGAGTCTAACATCAGCTATCTAATTTGAATTGATTTCATTGTTTAATTAGCATTGCCTAACAAACATTTTGATCATTGATAAGAATTTTTTTATTTTTTTTTCTAAATTATTCTAATATTTTTCACAGTCTTGCACTGCGCTCTTCCTGGATCTGGGTCATGTTTGCATTATTTTTTTTTTTATTCCAACTGCCAATAATGCTAACCTTGAAATCAGGATATGCCATAAAATAATATCATGTCTGTGCAAATCGACTGAGAATTGAACAATATTTGTAATTTGGCTCAGAGGAAGATAGGAATTTTGTTGCCTTGTGACAGTTTTTTTCTGGTGACTACTGGATAATACAAGACTTCTTCACCTTACAAATGGTGGAAAACCTCAAGTTTTTATGAACCTGGTTGTTTCAACATCAAGCACTGCAATCTTTGGTCATTTTGAGTGACTCTATTTGAATGAAGTGCAAATATATAAACAGCTCTTTTATGGGGAGACTGAAGAAACCGAAAGTGTTGTGATTGAGTGTTTGTTTGTAAACAGTAATTTTATCTAAATTGTTAGAGTATGGATTTGTGATGCTCAACCTTTGTGTGTGTGTGTGTGTGTGTGTAGGACTCAGGCATTCATCTCAGTGTGATTGATGACTCTAATGAGCACATGCTCACTGTGTGGGACTGGCAGAAGAAATCAAAAATCGCTGAGATTAAGGTACGTGGACACTTCTTTGATTCATTTGGTTCTCTTGTCTCACATATCACCACTCGCTTCCTCTTTTACCATCTCCCTTCCTTTGTTCCTTTCTTTTAGATTTCTTAGCCCTTATCTTGTTTCCTCCTCCTCCTTTCTTCTCAGCCTTTTTCATCTCGTTTCAGATGGCTTCCTTCTTGTCCTTTTATGTTTTGCCATGTCTGTTCCATTTGTACCCGGTTTCCCTGCACATTCCTCTTTTGCTTCTTCTCATCTCTTTGTTCTTCATGTAATGATTTTGCCAATATACTGTTTTATCAGACAACCAATGAAGTGGTCTTAGCGGTGGAGTTTCACCCGACTGACGCCAACACCATTGTCACATGTGGGAAATCCCATATCTTCTTCTGGACCTGGAGCGGTTCCTCACTCACCCGCAAACAAGGCATCTTTGGCGTAAGGATACCAATGCTTATATTTCTCATTGGGGAATTTAAAAAGAAAATAGTTCACCCAAAAATAAAAATTTGCTGAATATGTACTCACCCTCAGGCCATAAAAGATGTAGATGAATTATTCTATCATCAAAATTTTGAAGAAATTTAGCATTACATCACTTGCTCACCAATGGATCCTCTAGAGTGAATGGGTGCCGTCAGAATTGAGTCCAAACAGCTGATAAAAACATCACAATAATTCACTCGTAATCCTACTCTGGTCCATCAGTTAGCATCTTATGAAAAACTGCCTGTTTTTAAGAAACAAGTCCATCATTAAGGCACTTTAACTTTAAACTGTCGATTCTGGCCAAAATATCAATCCATAATAATGCTTCCTCTAGTGAAAAAAGTCCATCCCTTATTGTCCTCTCACATCACGACTTTTTCACTGGAGAAAGCAATAATAAACGAATCGATTCAGAACTCTGATTCATTTATTATTTAGCATAATTACTCAGAAGAGTCCATGGAAGACTCCATGTTGCATTATTTTTAAAATTGAAATGTTTTAGTTAAAATATATGTACTGCAGGTAAATATATATATATTTTTACTATATACTTTGTTATATTGTTTCATATATTTGAGCTCATTTAGTGAATATCAATGTGAAAAAACATACCATAATTATTTTAACTAGATTTTTACGGATTGGGGAAAAAAATCGCCGTGTCAGACCATTTCAGAGAAAATACAGTAAATATTGAGGCGTGTCAAAAAAATATCAAGATAAATTTTATTTAAGCAACATTTCCCAGCCCAAGAAACATTTCTTGACTAATGCTGTAGTCAGCTTGATGTACAAAGCACAGACTAGTACATAGTACATGGAGTTTATAAAACCTGAGTTCACATTTAATACTTTTGTTTGTGTGTCTTTGACAGAAATATGAGAAGCCAAAATTTGTGCAGTGTTTGGCTTTTCTCAATAATGGAGACATCCTGACCGGAGACTCAGGAGGAATCATGCTGATATGGACCCGCAGCACCGCTGAGGCACACACACACACACACACAGGCACAGACATTATTAGCACTGCCAACATACTAAAAGACATACTTCACCCGAGAATTAACATTCTCCTAATTTTTCCATCATCACCTGCATTTCCTTACAAAAAGTACTTTGGTGGCAAGTTATAGTATCCTCCACCAAATGCAGTATGATCCGCTGCTATGCAGCACGCTCTGAAACCAAAGAGACTAGAGAAGTTCCCGCTCACCATAAAAGAAAATAAAGGAAGTAGAATGAGGCCAGATGCATGTAGGGTCAATGCATAGCCACATTATGTTCTACCAAAAGACACATGTCATATTAACAGTAGCAGATAAGTTACTGCACAGGTCAGGAAAGGCTGTAGGATTTACAACTCTGACAACACACTGCTATAGGAAATCTTTGTTTATTTCTTATGTCATGACTGTGAAAATTACATGAAAAGCTCAGTTTATGATTGCCATTCCATAGTTTGTTTTACTTCAGTAGTAAAATACACTCAGTTAAAAAGAGGAATTTATTACACTATGGTAAATGCAACATATACAACCTCGCTGCCCCTCACATTTGACCTACTACGGCCCATGTGTGCTCAAGTTTATGTAAAATAATCATTTCTTTGCAACAAGTCTCTTATGCTCACCAAGGCTGCATTTATTTGATCAGAAATACAGTAAAACAATATTATTGTGAAATAGTATTACAGTTAACCGTTCTGTTTAAATGTATTTTAGAATGTAATTTATTCCTGTGATGCAAAGCTGAATTTTCAGCATCATTACGCCAGTCTTCAGTGTCACGTGATCCTTCAGAAAACATTCTGATATGCTGTTTAGCTGCTCAAGAAACATTTCTTAATATTATCAGTGTTGAAAACAGTTGTGGTATTAGAAAATATGTTAGTATCATGGCACTTTGAGGTACCTTATTAACGTTTTGTTTCGTCAATACTATAATGTATAATGTTAATGAGGCCAGCATTCATTTCAGGAAAACAGTGACGTAAACAGAAACTTCTAGAAACCTGTGGCAGAGAGTAGCTTTCAAGAAGACTTTCAATGGAAGGGCACAGCTCGTGAAATGTGATGTGACTGAAACTGTGTTTACATGCACACATGCTAGTGTCTGTGCGCACAAGTTGACAGATTGTTTTCTCTGTGTTGATCCTGGAGTTGTAATGGTTTTCACTGGCATGCTGTGGAACTGGATTGGCTGCACCACAGGCTGAAACTCTGCCAACTCCTGCTCGTTTATCACTCCTTTATTTACCCCCTCAATCTGTACAGTGCAGTCCTGTGACACAGCACCCCCTAAAGGATGGAAACTACTACTACTACTCCCAATCACAGAGCCCAATCGAGCACTTGTAGTAGTTTTACTTGATACTTTGAAATGAAATTCTTCGTTAATCTATAAAATCTGTAACTTTCAAAACTCAAACTCTTTCCTGAGTCCAAAGAAGTGCATTTATGGAAGTTCAGCTGCCTGTAGCTCATCTCAAACTTCTACATAAACAAATGAATACATAAGCACGACTGCTTATATTTACATATTAGTGACACTTGATCCAGAAGCTTGGCCCAGTGTTATTGCACTACCATTCAAAAGTTTAGGGTCAGTAAGATTTGATATATTGAATGAAATGAATACTTATATTCTGCAAGGATGCATTAAATTGATCAAAATTAACAGTAAAGACTTTTGTCGGCGCCGATGGCCTCGTGGGCAGCATGCCGACATATAGCGCTTTTGCGCTTCGGGCGTCCCGAGTTCGAGTCCCGGCTCGTGGACCTTTCCCGATCCCACCCCCCTCTCTCTCTCTCACCCACTTCGCTTCCTGTCGACCTACTGTCCTATCTAAATAAAAGGCATAAAACGCAAAAAATAAATCTTAAAAAAAAACAGTAAAGACTTTTGATTAGGGATGTTCATTTCGGTTATTTTTCCTAACCGACAACCGACGCTCGTTAACCGATTGTTAACCGTTAACCGACAAGATTATTTTAAATTAGAATTGAATTAAATTAGAAAGGATAAGTGTCTGTGACCCGTTAAAAATACTAACATTTGTTTTCCGGGGATTAATTTTACATGCGCAAAAAGCAGCAAACAACAGAACATAAGGATTCACATGGCCATCCTATCACATCACACACCTGCAGTGCTTCTGCCAGCGGAGAAAAACATAATAAAGCAAGGCTATATATATACGAATAAATAGGCCTATACGAGAAACATATTTTTACTTAAATAATAAATTAAGAAAATGAAAGAAAAACTGTGCAACAAGTAGCCTA